GACCTGCCAGTCAAAAGATTCAAGTAGCTGTTGATGGTAAGTCAGTAAAATATAGTATCTTCATTTTGAAAAAAAAAATTGCAATAGTTTTGAAGTACTGGTTCTTAATATTCAGTTACAATAATGTATAATTTAATCCAACCATACATGAATAAATAATAACAACTAAGTTATGTTATTTTCTACTGCTGCTGGAGGGAGTGCTGCACCTATGTCATCTTAAACAAAATTAATATATTGACTAATGTTTCAGGATCATAAGTAAAAAAAGTATAGAAACCAATAATTAATAATAAATTATAAATTCTTCTAAGAAATGTTTCATAAGGCTCTGCTGTGCTATCAAATCATGAAGATGAATTAACTTTCAAATAGTCTTTTTCCCTGAACAACTCTTCCCCGAGGAAATCTGCAACCATTTGCCAACTCAGGATTTTATTCTGCCTGCAAGCTAGAGGACTGTGGCAAAGTGTCCCTAAAAAAGGAAAGACTACAATGGGATTTGAGGGGGCAAAATTCGACCCCACCTGTAGAATGTTATTCCACTGTCTTATTCCACTGTCTCCAGTTTTTTTATTGGAAGATTTATTTGTCATTCTCATCTTTAAACAAAATTAATATATTGACTAATGTTTCAGGATCATAAGTAAAAAATTGAAGGAGTATAGAAACCAATAATTAATAATAAATTAGACAAACTTCTAAGAAATGTTTCATAAGGCTCTGCTGTGCTATCAAATCATGAAGATGAATTAACTTTCAAATAGTCTTTTTCCCTGAACAACTCTTCCCCGAGGAAATCTGCAACCATTTGCCAACTCAGGATTTTATTCTGCCTGCAAGCTAGAGGACTGTGGCAAAGTGTCCCTAAAAAAGGAAAGACTACAATGGGATTTGAGGGGGCAAAATTCGACCCCACCTGTAGAATGTTATTCCACTGTCTTATTCCACTGTCTCCAGTTTTTTTATTGGAAGATTTATTTGTCATTCCCATTCCCTATGCTGTATAGCCAGTCAGACAGAGAAGAGCTGACTGCCCCTTCGTTCTCTCTTTTGTTAGATGAGGTCTCTACTTGGGCCTACCATGTCTTTTACCTTCTGTCACTATCAAAGAGGCGTCATTGACTTTTGCCGGTGACCTTGTGTCTGTAAAAGAAGCCCAAATCTGAATTCCTAAAATACTGAAGTTCCTCTTTGTTCTTTACTCCTTGTAGTGGGGATAGAAAAAAAAGGGAAATAGAAAATAATGATCTAAAAGAATGACAAGAGGCTACTGTAATTTATGGGTTATATGGAGGGAGCCCTGTCACTGTCGGGCTTGGAATAATGAAATGAATGACGTAGTAGCACGATAAGGTTGTAGCTGCCATTTAACTCCCATACCCGTCCCAGTTTGCAGTCATCCTCACGACCGGATTGACAGCATATTTCAGCGGTGCCCAGTGTCAGCAAAGCTGCAGGCAGCCATGCAGAGGAAGTCGCGCACTGTGGCCAATGTCATGCTCTGCACTCTTCATTTCTGTGGGATTGATTATGAGGCAGGAGCTGGAGGCCATGGTATACCTGACTGCAGCCTTTGTCCTATCACCAGGAATATAAAGTCTAGTTGTATTTAAGTGCTAGAATAATTCTTACAGTCACCAGCTGAGAATATGGACTTCTCTTTTCAACCTTTAGCCACATTTAATAAATAAAATTTGAAATCCGAGTACTTTCCAGAGGTGACTGCTATTTGTATCATCTTGACAACGAAGACTGTGATATACTGGCTCGTCACTTTTATAACTCTTCATATCTCTTTATTTTACAGTTCCTGTCACAAAGCCCATTGTACATACTGAACCATCTTCAGGGGTAGTGGAGTATGTAGGGAATATTACATTAAAGTGTACTGTGGAAAAAGGTACGAGGGTAGTTTACCAGTGGATGAAAAATGGGAAGCCTCTCCATGCCGGCCCTAATTACACCTTTTCATCAAACAATGCAACACTTCTAATTGTTCCTGTTGTAAAAGAAGACATTGGGAATTACAGCTGTCTGGTATCTAACCCTGTCAGTGCAATGGAAAGTGAGATAATTGCACCAACCATATATTGTGAGTATATGAAATATTTATAATTACCTTTGTATAAATGATCTGGCTGGAAAGAGTGCCTCTAAATAGGAAACAGGCAGAAAACAGTTGAGTCAACATTATATGTGAGCTTGCATTCAAAATGAGCTTGTTTGTAACAGCTCTAACTTACAACAGTATAATAAAAAGTTACTCAGCATTATGTAGTTGTGAAGATGAGTCTCAACTGCAGAATTCAAATAGGAACTTCAAGAATTCCGCAGTACAGACATCTTCAGATCTGGAGGAGATGTGACTCAAAAAAGTGATCAGATGGGTATACATGAAAATATTGTTAAAAATGGAGACAGCAAACAATATAAAAAAGCTAAATGCAGGAAGTAACCAGGCTGAAGGACTGCTATTTGTGGTTTTCCTCAAGATCATTTCGAGTCCAGTCCTGTTTAATACTTCCATTAATGACATCAGCATAAAGACTGGGAGTATCTCAATGAAGTTCACTTGTGACATTAAACTGGGAGGACTGAATGACTTTGACAGAGTAATAGAACTGGTATGAAATTTGCTAGTAAAAAATAAATGGGCATGCACTTTTAGAGAATAAAAAACATGAACTTCTGATGATGAGATGGAGATTGATTGGGAAATAACTGAGGCAGCGAGCCTGGGTGATTGAGCTATCACAAGATGTCTGTGAACTGGCAGTGTGATTAAGGCATGAGAAAGCCATATGTAATTCTAGGGTCTGTTGGCAAAGTATTTCCAACAAGGAAATAAGGGGAATACTAATGACACACAGAAGATGAGACCACATGTAGAATACTGTGTGCAGTTCCTGCATACCCCAGAGCAATGATCTCAAACTGGAAAGAAACAGAACAGAAAGGAATGGAGAACAGACCCGGAGAACTCAGTCTGGCTTAGCAAAATCAGAGCTGAAAGGAGTGTTTGCTTTCCACATCAAGTGGGAAACATGAGGGAGCAAGAAGAGTTGCATAAAGACCAATGCTGGCAGAAGAATAAACCATAAGCTAGCCATATATTTTGACTGGAAATGAAATCACCTGAGAAACTAACTGTGAACGTAAATTGAGTTCATGAATGAAATGAGTTGGAGGAAACAAAAGATTGGCTTAATCAGCATTCAACAATTATACTTTAAATCTTAGAAAGGGCACTCTCATTTTGTTCCTTATCCCTCCTGCAATGTCAGCTCCCAGTGCCTCCAAGATCTGCAAGCAGCACATGCTGTGTATGTGACCTTGCCAGGCTCTAATCCTCATGTCCTCAGGGGTCAAACTGTCCTTCTCAGAGGAGAGCTGAAATCAGACAGGTCAGGACCTACTTTGCCACCAGCCCTGTTCAGATATAACCAGTTTACCCAATGGCACAGTGTGGATGGCACAGTGCAAGGACTGGAACTGGATTCCTGTCCAGCCAAGGGCTGGTGCTCGCTCTTGCTTTTGCTGGGCTCTGTAATCTGGCAGCTGGTAGACAGCCCATGCCCTAGACTTGTTATGATTGCACTACCAGCATATTCAGAACCTACACTTCTTACTATATCATATTTTCCTCCTCCTCCTTTCTTCTCTGATTATTCATTCTGCTACGTATTTATTTTTAATTGTAATTTGAAAGAATGGGATGAGGGGGTGTCTCGCATCTAAAGCGTGTGGGGGGGTCTAACATTGCACCAGAAGAAGAGAAAAAGACTGCCTAAATTAGTGAAGACTAACAAGGACATTGTTAGATGAGAGCTGATCCCTTAGGTGCAGCTTATAAAATTGACAGCAATGCAGACATGAAGATGAAGAAGCTGCTGCAGAGAGTCCTAAACAGGGCGGATGTGAATTGAGCTTCCATTCACATTAGACAGAGGAATCATGATAAAATGGTCTACAAGGAAATAACCAGCACTGATGGCTTTTTAACTTATCATTACCATAATAAAAAAAAACCACCAAACATCATATTCTTTCCTCAAGGTAGCACATTTTTAAATGCCTTCCTTTGTACAGTCACAGTCTCAGCTCACTTAAGTGCTTAAAGTGCTAAGAACGAGAGCTGTATGTGTATGAATGTGCTGCCTCTACTGCTTTTCTCACTGTAATGAGCTATGAATGGACCTTATACACCTCTCTCTCCGAAGAATACCTACACAAAACTTGGGGACGCTGTATCCAGCACAACCTGACAGCCTTCTTACAATGCAATAGAATCAGGTCAGGCTAGAAAAATATCTGCCACTCTTGCTACCTTTCAGACTGCTCTGTTTGTTTGTGGCACAGCCCCTTCGGCATTCACATTTCTGACCTGATGCGCACAGGATTGGCTCCAGAGCACTTATCGCACTGACGGGTGTCTGGGACACTTGCACTGACAAGGTGTGTGCCCTGCAGTCTCAGTTCTGGTGCTGCTTCCTCCCTTCTCCCTCACTCAACTGCATGTATTTTCCAGCAAATTTGAAAAATCTTTCCAAGTTCTAAACTGAAAACCTATTTTTGACCCATTGTTTAGCAGAACTTTAAAATCTCAAAGTTACTTCAGTGTCCACATTTCTGGAACCTTTTGCTGCTTGAGCGATTGTGATATACAGCTCAAAAGATCTGTATATATCAAAAACTTTGAGATTCAGTCTTTCTCCACATGTGGAAATATTGTCATGAGTATTTGTATTTTCAGAATGTACTTTTTATTTCATCAGAACTGAGCGTTTGCTTTGTGCGTAATTTAAAATTTTAAAAAAATAGTAAGAGAAAACAATGCAATGCTGAAAGACTGCAATACTTGCGCTACTATCCATATCCAAGTTAGTGATGGGAGTTGGGGTCTTACTTCCTGAGCTATACGAAGTCACATAATTTGGTCCAACCTCTGCCTGCAGGGGTGGTTTGTCTCCCAGCTCCCAGTTGTCAATAACAATCCAGAACAGGCCCCGGGATCTCTATGTGCCATATGTCATTGCTGCAGGGGAGTTACTGGAGGTGATTAAAAAAAGGTCACTCACAGTAAATACCTGCCATCTGCTTGGAAACTGTAACAGTCTCGTGGTGATAGGAGCAATTGGAAATATTCCCACAGAGCAGTAAATTGTTACTCAGAACAGATGATTTATTATTTTACAAGTCATTTAGTTAACTGGCTTTACTGAGACAAGAGGCAGATTTCTGTTGAGAACAATACCGGAAAGGAGAAGTAGAGCTGAGGGATCCATGAAGGCTGTCACTGTGTTTTTTTACTGAGAATCAAAAGTGTTTTGTTCTTTATTTCTCATTAATAGTATTCTGCTTCTCCATTAGCTATGATGATAATGCACCCCAGAACATGGCTATTGCAGTAGCGTGACCCAGAAACAAATTATTTCAAGACTGGCAGAAGCTGCTGTCATGGAGGCTGCGGCAGAAGCTGCTGTGCTGTGCTGACGGAGTTGAATTTAACAGACTAAGTGGGATTTCCTTCCTTGTGTCTTCCCAAAGCTAGAATATATTTAGTCCTAGAGAGGAAATGGTTAATTACCTGCTTTTCAGAATCATCCTTGAAGCTGTGTATATCCCTCAGCTACCCAGTGTTTAGGGATCTCTGAAGTACGCGATGCCCAGGAGAGGCAAAAGACTGATCCAGGCGAAGCAGAAGGGTTACCCGATGCTTGCGTTGACTTCATCAAGGAATGCCACTTTTCAGACCTTGCCAAGATTTGACTATTCCTTAAGAAAACCTTTCTTTGTTTTTTTTCAAACATACTTCCCCAGCCAGTGTACGTCAGTGGTTTTATAATGGTTTCTTTCAATTTGCAGCTTTCGTACAGAAGTGTATTAATGTTGTTAGGGTTATCTGTCTATGCTGCACTGTTACGATACTGATAAAAAAGCAGAACTCAATTCTGATTCTTTTGCAGACTGTGGCAAATATCCCACTATAGTCAGGGGGCACAGAGACCAGTCAGCTATTCTTACCATTAGTATCTGTTTACATGTATCAAAGGTTGTATTATCAGTGAAAATAAAAGCTAATTCTTCTAAGAAAGAAGAATTGGATAGGAGGAACCACTGAATTGCTCTGCAAAGTAAAAAAGCGTGGTCCTGCCTATAAATAGTGCGCGAGGGGTTTTACTTTCATTTATGAAAAAGTCAAAGTTCACTACATCTCTCTCCTTTCCCATCTGAAAAAAGGGAAGTCAATACCTATAACGGGCAAGCCCCCGTGAGAGGCTGGTGTTCTGGACCGTCCACAGAAGCATGCAGTCCGAGTGAGGCCAGCCAAACCAAAGCAGTGGTGATAGGTCTGCAGTTCCCAGAAATGCTTATTACAGGGTCAGCCGTCTCTTGGATACAGTAAAGCAAATGGCTCGAGAACTGCAGAGCCTGTGGAGAAGCAGCCCAGCATCTAGCATTTAAAAAATGCCTTGATTCTTCAGAGTAGCCCCTGCCATGTAGGCGGGAGCAACACTAATTCATGCTGAAGTGAATCTGTATTGCATTTCCCAAGTAAATATTACGCATGATGTTGGGCCTTCCTTAAAATGAGACTGCAAAAAGCTTACCGCTAAGAAATAAGTAGAGAAAATAAAACGTTTGACAAGTTTACTTTGTGAAATATGGACATTTGGTTAAAAGTGGACTAAGCTGAGGTCATGGTGTGATAGTCTACATTCTCTTGTCTAAGCCTTCACAAATAGAGAAAAAAACCCAGAGGCACACACAAAATGGCCTGTTTTGTGCTGCGTGCTGTTTGCCTACGCGTTCTTGAAGAATAAATCGGTCTCATGAAAAAAGACAGACAATAAATAGAAGTGTGCGTGTTAGAGGAAGGTCTAACGTCAGCCTGAATTTCCTGATGAGAAGTAGAGTCTGAAACGTGCCAGTGTGCCGCCTCATGTGGCAGGGAATTTCACATTCAAACCCAGCTACGTCATCTTAATGCTTCCAGACAACCATAGGAAGGTGGAAATACTATTTGATTGCACTGTCTACAATGGGCATAACATTGACTTACCTATCTTTTTGCTGTGCCATTCTGTGTGAGGCACTTGTCAGCAGCTTTACCGAACTTCAGGGATCATACCAAAAAAAAGTCTCCTGCTCATTCTGCATATTTTCTTCTTTTAGCTTCTGTCAATATTAGGTCTGTGCATTTTTGATTATGCGTGTAAGCCCTTAGGGAATTAGCAACATTAAAATGATTAGTTCTTTTGACTGGAAAAAGTAATTTAATAAGGCACATTTTGATTATTATATTCTCTACATTAATTTCTATGCTTAGATCCCTGTAAAAATAGATTTTAACATGTGAAGATATAAAAAGCCTATGATCTGAAATGATCTATTAAAAATAGCATGGGAAATATTCTTATCATATTTAAATATATTGTTACCCTTCCCATTTTCCTGTGAAGATTACCCTAAAAATACTTAGCTGCTCAATTTTCTGAATGACGTGACTATTGGACAATATATGCCTCTTCTAATTATATTCAGAAACACAGCTTTCTTTCAGCACAAGGGCTTACTCTTGAAAGAAATGTAAATGTTGAAATAGTAGAAGCCTACTAAAGTGGGGGGAAGGTTAAAGTTTATTTCAGCAATCATTTATGGAAAACCTTTTCTGAAGTTATCTAAGGCACACCCCACTCTATATTACACCTGTAGGATAGCTCCCCAAATAATTATTATACTGCAAAGTATTACAGTGAATGTTTATATATTTCAAGGCTAATTTGTTCACTTTTAAATGTGCAGAGAAATTACTTATGACAATAAGTTTGGCATTTAAGTAGAAAGGGTCAAATACGCCCCTGAAGAAGACCTGCTCCTTTACTTCACAGCTTTTCCAACTGTTTTCAGGTTTTTTTTCTTTTTATCGTACTGAAAAATGCATACACCTGTGCTTTTTCCCTAAACAGCAATTAGATCAATATTAAGTGGGTGTAGTCTGAGATAAACCTAGTACAGATCAAGTTATTGAACTGAAAGCCTTTTAATTGAAATGATTGAATCCAGTGTCAGCCAATCTAAAGGCTAGTCTAACTTAAAAATTCTAAGTTTAGAGATATGCTTCTATTTAAAGTTTAATTATATACTTTGATTTTAATTTTTCCACCGTGTTTCTTTTTTTTTCAATGCAGATGGACCTTATGGACTTAGAGTTAAATCAGATAAAGGTCTGAATATAGGGGCGGTGTTTACACATGGGGGAAGTTATACTGTTCAACTGCTCAGCAGATTCAAATCCACCAAATACTTATTCTATTCCTGAATATAGGGGCGGTGTTTACAGTTGACATGGGGGAAGTTATACTGTTCAACTGCTCAGCAGATTCAAATCCACCAAATACTTATTCGTGGATTCAAAGGGCTGACAATACCACTCATGTAATCAAATATGGACCCCATCTGGAAGTTGTATCTGATAAAGTGGCCCAGAAGACAATAGATTACATGTGCCGTGCTTTCAACAACGTGACTGGAAAACGAGATGAAACTCACTTTACAGTCGTCGTTACTTCTGTAGGTAAGAACATTAATTCATTGCTGTAACATCTGAGCAGAGTGTCAACCTCAGAAAAAGGAAATAATTCTTAGAGAGAGAATATATATCAGAAGTGAGGTCTTGCTAACAATGTAGTAAAGGGGATTTTGGCCATTCAGTGGGATCCGGGTTTTACTCACAGTGTGACATAGCTTGGGACAAGACCCACTAAGATGCTGAAGTTTTGTGGGAGTTCGACACCAAAATATATTTGGCCATTTGGAACTTTATCCCTTGAGTAGAAAAACTTCCTCGGTAGGCAAACTTCATCATGACCAAGTAAAGTGGCAGAATTATATCTCTCTTACTCTGTTTCTTACTTTTTGCCTTTAAAAATGATGAAGATGAATGGAGAGAATGATGCGGAAATCTGCTGAATGCCAAGGTGGGCCTTTCCTCCCAAGGGCAGGTTTTGTCCAAGGCTCATTGTCCCACAGCTTTCAGGAGCTGTGAGCCCTGGGGCCACCAGGAGACCAGTAGATGGGATAGTTTTGAGCATACATCACTGACTAAAATAACCAGGCACAGACTCACAGCAATGAAGGTCTTTAATATTTTTCCAGTGTGGTTAGGTATTATAAGAGCCTTAGTTTAGTGTATGATAATAATGCAAGCTGTGATGATGAATGGTTTTATTAGAATTTGTTCATAAAAATTATTTCACTGCCATATTTATGAATCTATTGATTGACTGCTAGGTTCTGCTGAACGCACACCTTTATTTCCCATACATTGTAACCTCAGTTCCTGTACCAGATTGCGTTAAACAGCAACAAAGCAGTTTTTCAGAAAAGCTCCAGAAGCATACAGCGAAGAACAAGATATTGAGGAAGTCTGTTATCTCTTACTAATACAGATAGATACAAGTTTTTTCAGATAAGGAATGTATGCTATTAATGTTCAACAAGATAGAATAGATTTCCTTTTAGAAAATTTAACAAAGCAATTTTGCTTGTGCAGAATGAAGAGCTCAGCTATTTGTTAGATAAACAAGGAGAGCAGATGTCCGTTGTTCAGGCTGACTTACGGATTCATCACAAATCCATGGCTTTCAGTATGCTGGAAGGAAGATGGGTTGCAATTTTACAGTGAGAATACTGCACTTTAAAACTAAACATTGTGGTTAGTGGTGAAAGAAAATGCAACCAGAGCTATGTGTCAGTAGAAATAGACATGATGTTTCTCCAGGAAGTTCATGTAAGCTATGATACATATGTGAACATTCATCAATAAGTGTTAAGAAATTCAGCTGAGATTTCCTTTCAAAGGCCGAAAAGAAGGGAAAACTCCACAGCTTCGTGTTTAGTTGCACTTAAAAACATACATTTCCTAATTACAAATATTTTGCCTAAATAAAGCTTTTTAAAACATTTTATCCTGCATATTTACGAATTAAAAAATGTCAGTTTCCCCCTCAATAGCCATTTTCTTCTTGATGAGTATTTATTCAGATAGCACTAAATCCAGATGTCAAGCCTACACTTTGCAATGCAGCACTGATTGACTCTAAGAGGTATGAATTCACACACGAGGCTAAACCTCAGAGATCCTGCTCAGGCTACATTCTGTTTGGAACTGATTAAACGTACTAAGCAAAGACTATGAATATTATTCCATATCCCTTCTCCCTGTCCCCATAATCCTAGGTACAGAGCCTGGATTGTGCCTCTCAAAATACTGGAAACCCCATTTTCAGCAGCGACAGGAACTTCGATGTTTCAGAAGACCTTACACAACTTCCCTACCTAAGGAACTGGAACTTACCTATATGGCGCTATAAACAGCTGCCTAATTAATGCTAAAAATCATCAAGAAAACAATTATATCAATAAGTTGCAATTACATCAACCATTGCACTAAGCTGTTACCCAGTTTTAGCTAAGACTAGTTAGATTTTAAAATAAGAGGATGTATCTCATTAAATACACAAGTCATTGCTCAGTTCTCAAGTTGAGTCAACTTGAGTGTGTTAAATGTGTGTAAAGAGCACGTCTTTGTTTTCTGCACCGGTATGCCTGTGGAGATAAGATTTATTGAGTCTAAATTTGAAATTACTCATTTTAAAGAACATTTTTAAGGACTCAGCTGATTCTCCAGCGTTTGGGGTTTTTTTCTGAGGAAAGCAGTACATTGAAGGAGTATGAAAGAAATTTGGTGAAACTGCAGTGATTTATTTTCCCGTATCTTCGGGACTCATCTGGTTTGAAATCCACATATTTAATCTTTGTGATAACCGCTACACACACAGCCAGCACAATGCCAGTGAATTACATGGAGGTGTAAGTAGATGTAAGTAACACTGTCTGTCTGCACAGGAGTTCATAAATGTACTGGAAACACATCCAGCTAAATAATACACATTTGAATCGTACTCATAAAGCTGGCACTGACAAATATGCAGCATTAATTTATCTGTATGGATTGTGACACGGCCTTTAATTACATGAATTCTGCGTGATTCAGAGCAAAGGAGGAATTTAAGGGTGCGCAAACAACTATGTCTGGCATTTCCTAACTTTCACATTCCTGTCTTTGCAATTTCTATCCAAATATTTTCAACATGGTTTTGTGTATGCAATTATATACATATTGTATTTGTGTTTTATCAGCAAATCCTGCTGGAAAACTGCTGCTAACACATGTCTCAGCAAAAGATCTGAGCAAAGGAAAGAAATACTTTGGATATATTTAGACATGACTACAAACATAATTTATTGGCTTCTGATGGGAGTTGATAAACAACCAGACTGTCAGTGATCTGAAAATCTTTAGAAAAAATACAATAGCATCAGTATTATCCCCTCCTACTCTACAGCTCCTACAGCTAGGAGGATTTCCCTCCCATCTAGCACAAACTGCTCACCTAATTGTCACCTGATTTCTTGGTAGTTCAGTGTCTCTGTGCCTAAAATTAGAATATTCATCTACTTTTTGTGATGCTGTAATTCGTGGATTACATTTACTGACCTTCCTTTAGCTTTAGGTACCAATCTGTTTTGGATTCATTTCTGATATGCATATCATTGCTTTTCTAGTCAGGAGATTTGTGGGGAAAAAGAAATATTACCAATTCACAAGAACCCAAATTTTGTATCTGTTTTGTATCTCTATGCAGGTTTACTAGCTTCAGGTGAATTTCAAAAGATGCATTTTTTCATTCTCATAATACAGAACGAGAGACTAAATACAGTACTCATCTTCTTTGTCACAGGATTGGAAAAGCTTGCCCAGAAAGGAAAATCTTTGTCATCTCTTGCAGTAATAACGGGAATTTCATTATTTTTGATCCTAGCTATGGTCTTTTTATTCATATGGAAAAGATATCAGCCACATAAAGGTACGTAAAAGTTAAGCACGCTCCAGCTCTTCTTTTGGACCATCAGAGCAAAAAGAATGATTTTTCTTTTTCTTCTTTTCAGTGATACAACAGAAGCTGCAGAGCAGGTACAAAAATAAATCATTCTTAGGTCTTGAAGTCCTTTCCATCAAAAGAATTGCATTTTATTATATTAATTTTCCTTCCTTGGCTTATGACATCAAACTGAAAAACATGTTTATGTTTTCTAGGCCAGAGGCTGATTACAGGAAGGCACAGGCATTTTCAGGTAATGCTAATGAAAGAAATGTGAGCGTAAGGTCAAAATCCATTCCTGCAAAAAATTACCATCTCCACATACAAAAAGAAAGAAGGAAAGGAAGGGAAGTGTGTTTTTAACTTGGGTTGCACACCTACCTCTATGTTAGCTTACTTAAGATAAAACCAAAATGACAACAGGTCAGTGTGGGTTTAGCTCATGCCTGGAGTTCACAGCAGTATGTACCTGTTGGCTTGAATTCTAGCTGTTAATCCCGGTTAGAATCACCTGTATTCTGCTGTTCTCACCAATATGAAATAAATCAGTGTTATTATGGGATAGCAGTGAGAGGTGATACACCATGGGAGGATCACACTTCTAAATGTTCATGGCACCAATCAGTACCAAAATCGTGAGATGTTAGTATGACATTACAGTATATATATTTTAGCCTCCACCACGTTCTGTACTACCTTTCTCTGTCATCAGGACCCAGTGTGTTTTTGTGACTGCCTCTTTTCCCTCCACAATCCTTCCTGCATCATCCTGGAGACCAGCCATCCTTTGGAAGGGTAGCACTTTTGTTCCCATCCCTTTCTACCAAAGCATCAGAGCAGACCCTTATGGCCTGCTACATGTGAGAGGATAGAGAATTATATGAAGCTTAGGAAGGTAAGAAATTCACTTGAGCACAGAGAGTCCTTCACCCCAGCAAGTGGTATCAGAGGAGAGAATCTCAGCACTGTCTTTAGTGCTGCAGCCTTTGCTGTGGAGTGATGCAGTGATGCCCAAGAGACAACCAAAACTCTCAGATCTCCTGGACAGCAGGAGGGTAGAGAAAGAGACTCCCACCCTCACTACAAGTTGTATCTGAAGTCCCAGATGCAATCTGTCAAATGGTTTAACAATGTGGCACCTACTAGTATCATGTTCCCTTTTTTTATTCTCAGCATTATAAAAGACGCAGGTGGTACTGCCTCACTACAGTGTAGATGTGCTGAGCTTATGGACTGGGCCCCTTTTCTATGGGAAATGAAAGTAAATCAGTCTGTTTAGCCTTCCAGCAAAGAGAGTCCCAATGGCTTTACCAAAACTGTTGCTGAGGTTAGTGAGAGGCTCCTCACTTGGTCTGAGGTGTTGGAGATAGCCAAGCACTGTGAACACCGGCTGTGCATCTGCCCTGCCTCGCTCCACGCCAGCTTAGGAACTTGACAGGGAAGTGGTTTAAAGCAGATCAAACAACCAATATTCAGATGTTTTAAAAATTAAGCCAGATGACTTTGCCCATCGTTATGTAAGCTGTCTTTTCCAGATTCATACTACATCTCGGTACCTTTTTTCATGTTTGTTTGTTCTAACTTTAGGACATGAAAGTGCTTTGGATGATTTTGGGATATATGAATTTGTCGCTATTCCTGATCTTGCCAGTGGTTCTAGGGTATGTGGTTTTACATCATAAACTGATGGTTTCTTTTCTATTTCTTAAGGTGTACTAAATATCTGTAGTAGAATCCTTCTGTCAGTTTGCTCCTGTTGCTTTTTACAGATGTCTATATGACACCATATTCATGACACCATATTCACTGCTGTTGTTTACCCAGTACTTGCTCTTTCTTTACTGTGTTACTAGTCCAGTACTTGTATTAACATGGTGCAGTAAGGAACTAACCAAGCTCTAAAGGGAGCAATCTCAGTTCAGTCACCCTATATTAAAAGAATATTAGTAGTGTTGGGTAGATGGGTAGCACTGAATCCTTTGTGTCACAGAAGCAAATTAATTCTTGTGATGCCATTTTCTCCCTTGGCCCTAATATTGCTGCTCACGCAACATACAACTTCGGCAGTGCAGGAAAGCCTCAGGGGGGTATTTAAAGTTTTCATTGTAAAAATATGCAAACTAAATCTCAGCCATATTTCACAAGAATTATTTTGTTAGTGTCATGTATTGTGGGGGAGGACTTAAGCGCAGGGATTTTGCTAGCAGAAAAAATCCTACTACATATGCTACTTTTCTGCATTGTGGCTTTGCTGACATTACTGTATAGCGGTTGGAGATCATTCTGATGTGGTGTAAAAGGACAAAGAAAAAGTGAGAAATAGGGCCACAAAATTTAGGGACAACAGACTGAAACTGGGAGGAAGTAGACGAAGCACTTTCCCTTTGCTAGGGAAAATCTCTGGCGATACAGTCTTGTACCCTTGGAGAGCATCAGTATGGTCAGGTAAGGGAGAGCTCTTAAAACTTGATCACACAGGGTCACATCAACAGTCACACCTATTTTGTTGTTATGATTAGTTCTCATAATACATAATGCATTCCCAAAAAATAGTCATAGATTAATAAACCCTTTTCTCTGCTGGGGTTAGATGATTGAAATAGACATTTCTAGGGCTAGAGTGCTATCCTAAAGGTTAGTGGAGAGGACAGACTTTTACAGCAGCAGAGATAAAAGGCTTTTAGAAAACAGAGGAGCCGAACTGTATCTGTGAAAGTTTGTGACCGTAGGAGCCTTATTAAGTACAGAGACCAGGTTCTAAATCATCACAGCCTTAGGCACACTACGATATCCCTTAGGCCGATCATATCACAAAGTCACATTCTTGCAGAATCGGGGCCGTAGTAGGTCAGGAGGGAGAGAAAGGTGACAAGGACAACAGAATGGATGTACAAGCAATGAAATTTATTCTAATTTCCAGTAAAATTTCAAGAAACAGGAGAAACTCCACTGGCTTATGGTCAGTTACTCAGATTTATGGCATTGCAGATAAAGTCAGCATTTGATCCACTGATTCATTGTAGTTAGTTAGCAGAAAAAGGGAAAAATAAGAAAGTGAAGATAATGAAGAACTGGAGGTTGGGTAGAGGCAGAAAGACTGAGAATTCCTTATGGATGGGGAGTCTAGGTGTTGTGTTGACGTAAGAGCAGATTTGTATACTTAACATATTGAACAATTTCATTATTACTTCATTTATGGAAATTCCTTGCAGTTTCCTCCCTTTGACATGCTGGTGGGAGTTTTATGCTGAACCCCTTCCCTGACTATTTTCTCCTTTTTTACTATCTATTCTCCTGCTTCTCTCTTTATTAAATGTTCCTTCCTTGACTTGTGGTACACTAATATAAAATACTTGCTGTATTAAATGCAAGAGCTGTATCCTAAATCTTCTAAGATCCTAACTGAATTTAAAACTATTGCTTGCCTTACTATAAATGTGATAAAAACTTACTCAAATGAAATGTAAACTAATAGAGATGAACTGTTAAATCCACATGCAAACCATTGATAGGGAAAAGTTAAAAACCCAAGACGTTACATTATCAGTTTAACTTCTGTTGAATCTTTTCCCGTTTGTACTTACAGTAGGAATACTCTTTGCTACTTTTAGGTTTCAAGACAATCTGTTCCTGGCTCTGACTGTGTCCCAGGCCAGGATATGCTTAGTACGGTTTATGAAGTTATTCAGCATATTCCTGAGCAGCTGCAACAAGACCATCAACAGTAAGTTAAAGCCTGTGTGCACTCATGTGGTAGCTCAAAGACAAACACTTCTGCATCCAGAACAATTTACATTTTGGTAGCTGGTGTGTGATTCCAGTGAGAGGGGTAAGGAAGGAAAACAGGTGTAAGCTACATCTTACCGTTTCCTATCCAGTCCCTCACTTTTCCTATCCAGTCCCTCACTTTTCCTCAAGACTCCAGTCTGCTATTTCATCATGCCAGTTTTGTCTAAGCGTGAAAAACAAAAGGTAAGATCTTCAAATGCAATTTCAAATGAAAATTCCCAAATGTTTTAAGAGGGTGGCTACAGTTTCACGGCGCTGAGACATCAGCACTTCCCACTGAGCAGGTTAAATCTTCAATCAAAGCAGTTTAATCGGCAGCACGGCTTCCAGACCTGCCAGCCGTGTGCCAAGTAGAGTTAGGGGGGCATTTTTCGCAATGTTGAAACTGGTCAGCTGATCAATAACCAGTGGTTGTTAAAATGGTCACTGAAATATTAACAGACAATGCTTAGTTACCTGAGTAAGCAATGTCTTAATTTGTATCTTAACTAATGATTTAGAGCAAAAGAATTCTTGTTCTGCAGTACCCTGGCTTGGGACTCCACAGAAACACTTTTGCTGAGTTAAATACCAGAAAGACCACAGCACGCTGTGCTTATGCAGTTAGTGTCTGGTAGTCCTGATTTTGTTCAAATCACCTACTTTGTAGCACTTCTTGGCATAAGAAGAGTGAATACACTGTAAAGTTTCTGTAATTGCAATATAGCTGCCATAAATCTGTTGTGAATATCAACAGTCTTTCTTACAAGTTAAGAGCAGCACACAAGACATTATTTGGTAACAAGCCTATTATATCACATTTTCCATGTTTTTATGATGTGTTCTGTTTCTTTTACGGTTGGAAAGGAAAATATGCACTCTTACCAATATACTAATCCGTTGGCTGAGTAATCACAATGTTTATGTGACTGCATTAGCATTCAGTACTTACACTATTAAAAATTTTGTGCAGGTTACATCTTCAACTGTGTGTCCGAATTATGCATGCAAACATGCAGCCATGCTTGTAAAAGCAAGCTGATCAGTGAGAAAGCAATAATGAATTACTAATGACATTTTTGTTCTGCTTGGAGTTACTCACTTTGAGCCTTAAGATGATTTTTTAAACCAGATGTAAAAAATAGCATTCATAAAGTACATCTTCTCTTATTCTTCCTCCTACATGTCTTCCTTCTCCACTTTCTCACTGATACATGACCCCTCTAAAAAAGGAGTAAATTCAAAGTGAAGGTAACTTGAACTTTGTGACAGTTCAGATTTCAACTCAAACTTCACAAAACATATTCTTAGTTGTAAAGGACTCGTTTGCATAAACCCATTTTGCTGCTCTTTTTATATATCAAGATCGTAGGAACAAAATTTTCACTAATAAAATCTGCTGGACACAATAATGGGTAAACTACTCAGATTAGAAAGACCACTTTCATGAATTTTCCAATTCCTGACCTGCCGCGAGGGAGCACTCTGAGTGGTAAATAAATAAGGACAACTAAGACAATACTAGTACTTGCAGCAGGATGCTTCAGCATTCAGTATAAGGAAAAAACAAAACACCACAGAACAGGGAACGGAGCTGGGAAAGTAATTCCAAACTCCTGTAGTGCAAAATAATGATTGCTTATGAATGGATCCCCCAGACTTGGTATGCAGCCATCTGTACAGTAATCAGCAATGTTCATGGGAAAAATGATACAGAACTTGCCTGCACTCTGCTTACGGTAGGAATTTCTCTTTGTGCAAAACAAAAGAACAGATGCTATGGGAGCCAAACAGGTTTGTTGGTAAAGTGATCATTTTATTCCCAGTGGTTCTGACTGGAACTGCTGTAATTTCATAGATTTATTAGAATTAATGTGCAAAGAAAAATAAGTCAAAGCCACTGTTTCATTCTCAGATTTACAGTCTGAGAATCTTTCAAATCCTCTCTTTGAATCTGACTTCTACAGTGTTAGCTGATGTTCTCTCTCTTGCTATTAGAAATCCCAGTGACAGTACCAGCAAATTCACGGACTAGCCGATGCCTAACACCCTGGGAATTGCTTTTTCCTTCCACTTTTCCTTATGCTTTCATCAGCCTTTTTATCCATTCATCCACACATGCATATATGCCTCTGACGCTCTAAATAATTACAAAATTTTAGATGTGCCCCAGCTCTTAAAAAGTAAGAATACTGCTGGAAGCTAATTAAACTCTTAAACTGTCTTGGGTTTGGACTGACGGCCTCATAACCTAATTGCAGTCAAAAAATGAGCTGACATGATAGTTGGCTTTGCACTTTTACATTCCCATGGTGATATTAGTCACTATTCACAACAGTCTTTTGCAGATTCGCCTCGCCTGCTCCTCCAAAGAATCAAAGGGAAAACATGAAATCAGTTTTTGAGGAAACTGTTCTGCTCCATCTCTGGGCTCCACAGTCACAGGGTGGTGTTATGTGACTGTCACATACTTAACTATTTCATCAAACACACTCTTTTAAGCCATTTTTGGTTGGGTTTTTTTTTATGACCCTTGCACATTTTTTAAACTCAATATAAATCCTGTGACAAACTGGACAACAGGCTCTTCCATATATGAAAGAAATCCAAAAATGGCTGCAAAAGCTAATGAGCAAGAAGTTTAGCCAGCTTTTATACATAAGCACTGACAGCTCACAACTCTTCTGAGAGCAGAAACTGTTTGTAACTTAGGTTTCATTTGCACTTCAAATTAAGATAAATTTACATCATCTCCCTCTCCTCTCATACACACTGCTTCTCTCAGATCACACATTAACCGCATCCTGAAGAGCAATGAGGATGCGCGGGGTTTGTACTGCGGACTACATGTACTCAGCCCACCGCTGCTGCTACCCTATAGCAGGTGCTCAAGTACATTACTGTTGATAATGTATGAGCAACTTGAAATACCTGTACTGAAAAAGCAGCCATGTGGGGTGCTATATTAGCCATTATATTATTTATGGATCAGACCTGTCTTGCCACTAGTCGTATCTTTTCAAAACTCGTGATCTTATGGATACTAAAAATTTGGTCAAATATCAGTGCGTTACAAATATGTCCACGGAGCTGTCATTCATGCTGAAGAACCATTTTACTTTTGTGTTTAGAACCGCTGGTTTGTTTATATGTTTGCACCTCTGTTTTTTAAAGAAAAGAAAGGCAGCATTGTAGACAACTGTTACCATCTCTGATTTTTCCTAGATGTATATGACGACACGGGAACAGGAAATCAAAGCATCTGAAAATACAAAAGTGACTTCTTTTTCTTTATTATGTATTGAAAGGAAATGCCAACAACTCCAAGAATGGCAAAGGCTTATGCCAGCTTTTCTTGAAATAGCAGTTTCTCTTCAGACTGACAATCCCTTTCCTTCGGGTACTCCAAATTGCCCATTTAAAAACATTTTTTTTTTCTTCTTTTTAATTAATAGTTTCTTGAAAAATACGGGGTTTTTTCAGACCTTTCATTTTTTTCCTTATTTGTGAATACAAAAGACAAAGGGACAGCTTAAAAATTGCAGTATAAAACCTATATATTTTATTACAATAATGGGTGGGAGGCACAGGGAGCAATCAGGCCCAAGATGCCTCCCACGCTTGTTTTATTAAAAAAATGGCAAAAAAATGTGTATGGGAGTTTTTCATTGGGGTTGACTTTTACAAGAGAAGGTCTCCATATTGGCATGAAAAGTAATAAATGCAATATGTCAGATAGCAAAATACATTTGGGGTTTACAATAAAGTCATTCTTTTAACTCTTTTAATGTAACAGTATCTTTCAATTTACAAACATAGAAACTGATCTGTCAGGCAGTTACAGTTTAAAAATGTACATATGTATATTATTCAAAATAATGTGTTCTTATTAAATTCTGTTTCCTTTGCTTTTGAACTGGTTTTCTATTTGCTGCCGAAGAGCCTGTTTCTCATTGACTAGAAGAGCAAGTAATATTCAACTAATTTCTGCAAGCTGCAGAATGTTCAGGCTATTTATACATTAACATTATAATTCTCCAGTGCAAATGAAACCAATCTCACTCTGTTTAAACAGACAGTGTGCTACAAGTCCCTTCACAAATAGAGGAATCCTCTTTCATGAGCTTCTGTTAGCAGGTGTCTCAATCCTGCAGGAAAATTCACTATTATTTCCTCAGGGTCAGCTATTAGATGGCATCAGTTAGCTGCAGCCAGGGAAAAAGGAAATTATGAATTAAATTAGAATAAGCTGCAGAAAAAAGAGGATACTTCAGTAACAGCTAATTGTGTGGAAAATCATTAGGGTGAGTAATGAGAAAGCATACAGCGTGTCCACCCTTTAAGACAAGCTGTACAGGATTATTTAAAGCACTCTGTATTATGAAAAATAATTTGCATTTGTTTAAAATACCTCCCTAATCTGTGTTTACTAAACATTCTTCCCGGCTCCTTCTTTCAAAGATGAGGAAAAATAACATGGTTTTCAGTGAATATTCTGATCTCATGATCCTGAAAAAAAGGGAAAAGGACAACTTCACCGTTGCGTGTGAAGAACAGAGAACTTGGCACTTCACAGAGGCAGCTGGTGCCGCCCAGATCTGAGAGAAGTACTGAGGTGATCTCAAAGATAATGTAGTCACCAGATTTGCTCTCTAAGAAATGACCCTCTGACAGGAAGGCGTCAGGCAGAGGCTGCAAGTAGAAACATCTGGGCAGAACTCTGAAGTACTGAAGTTGTCCTGAAGGATCGAGAAGCTCAGGGGCCATCCCCATAAATTCCTCCATCGTGCATTCAAAGCTGACTTCATTTGTGTCTTTCAAATTGGGAAAGCCCTTTGGGATGTGCCAAGTCTGATTTTCGCCCTCTTTTCTCCTCCTCTTCTTGCTGGAGTGGATATTTTAATTGATCTGAAATAAGCATACAGATTTCTGAAGTGCTCGACACCATTCCATCTTACCA